AACAGGAGACATGTCTGAGATAAAGAGTATGTTCCTTGAAATTAAAGATAATATAGAATCAAACAAGGAAGTTAAAAAGCTTAAGCAGGTGTTTACCTGTGTCATCTGCCAACAAACCAGTGCTGCAGTAATGTATTTTTGTGTGACTGGCTGTGGCCAGCTAATAGGCTGTTTTTTATGTGCATCCAAAATAGAGGATTGCCCTCTGTGCAGGGTTAGCCTGCCTGATCCACAACTGAGGAAGCCACTGAAAGTCAGTGGACTAGCTGGAATCTTAGGGATTCCTGACTTTTCTGTTACTTCAGCCTTACGGGAAGCAAAGATTGATGTGCAGGATGAGGAAGATGTGGACAATGAAATTCTTTAATTTCTATACATCTGTTACTGATAGCTTATAATAGTTTGTTGATATTTCATTAGGATATGCAGATAAGCCTGGAACAACATTTGGAGTTTTAATGCCTTTGTTGATTAACTTGTGTGTGCCAGGCATTGACTGAAATTACTAATTATCAGTTACTCTTACTTTATGGAAAAAAGTTTATATTTTCTTTTTGATTGCAGTTCAACTTGTAGTTAATGTTTTAGTTCTCCAGTTATGAAGTGGCCTCTGTTTGGGCAAGGAATTCTGTTATTTCAATAAAACTTTTAATTGCAGTAACAAATGTGTCAATCCTGTCATGAACAACATCACAAAATATGCTTGCAAAAGAGGAGTTTCGAGAAAGAAATAAATGCTCCCTTGACTCTTGAAGGTGATCATAGCATGCGATTGGATCATAACCAATGCTGGGGTCAGTATTCAGCCTTCCGCCTCGTTCTTCATACATTCGTACAGCCTCTGGAGTTGTAGGAATCAAATGTGGTTCCAATGGCACAGCCTGATTTGTCCCTCTCATTTTCTCAATGGGTATACATCCTTTGGGTCCTGTAAATGAGAAGGAAATGTTTTCTAGTGTGTAAGCCATTAAATACATTCAGAATATACCAATGAATTGCTACATTCCACATTGATGCTCGAGCCACAACGCGTAATGTGGCTATAATGTACCCTTTCACTCTAGCTGCTTATTTGTTTGAAACACATTTTGAGCCAAATACTTCTGTAGATAACAATGCTGTATTGTTATGGTTACTTGTGGTTTCAGTGAAGTTCAAAGTGCATGACTTTCTGACATGAAATACCACCACTCACCTGGAATTCGGTGATGGTTCCAAGAATTAACAAAGTTTTCAGATCCCACTTTGCTGACATTTATGGTCAGCCAGGATACAGCAAAACTAACCATAGGATCTTCCATGTTGAAGATCTCTTGCTCTTTTATAATGCAGAGTGCCTTTTTAAGCGGATAGTTTACTCTGGAATTTTCCTCTGGCCAAAGCCTCTCTGCCCTGTAATTCTTGGTGGATGTTGTTTGCCTCCAAGGGGCCCTGCTGTTATCATGACGTCTATTCTTGAGTAGCTCCTGTACAAAGATGCAGAGACAGAACTCTGTGCCATGATCAACACGCACCTGATCAAATAACCCAAACTGAAGCAGAAGAGGCCTGTATTAGATAAAATGAAAACTAGTCAGCAAGGGGGATTGTTAAAAGGAAAAGGTTTGAAATCATGCGAAACAATATCACCCCCAGTTGAGTTACCAACCAATC